TTAAACACCTCCGGGGATGGTGATTCCACCGCTGGCCTAGGCAGCCCATTCTGGTGCTTGGCAGTGCTTTTAGTGAAGAAACTTTCCCTAATATCCAATCTAAACCTACCCAGGTGCAACTTGGGGCGGCTTCCTTTTGTCCTGTCACTTGTTCCACCTGGGAGAAGAGACTGACCCCACCTGGCTACAATCTCCTTTCAGGTGCTGTACATCCATGAGGTTCCCCGAGTCTCCTTTTCTCCCCGCTGAACACCCCCAGCTAGTCCCACGGGGACTTGTGCTCCAGCCCCTTCCCCAGCTCCCTTGCCCTTCTCTGGACACACTCCAGCACCCCAATGTCTTTGTGCAGGGAGGGGCCCAAAACTGAACCCAGGATCTGAGCTGTGGCCTCAACAGTGCCCAGTACAGGGGGACAATCCCTGCCCTGGTCCTGCTGGCCACACTATTGCTGACACAGCCAGGATGCCACTGGCCTTCTTGGCCACCTGGACACACCTGGGCTCATGTTCAGCTGCTGTCAACCAACATCCCCAGATCCTTTTCCAATGGGCAGCTTTCCAGCCACTCTGCCCCAAAATCACACAAAGCCTGTGCAGCCGATGGGTTCATTTGCACTCCCCAGGCCTTGAGAACCACAGTGATGGGGTGGGAGCAGGGAAGGGGCTGTGCTGCCCCTGCTGCGGCCTGGGAGTATCTTCTCATGCCGCAGGAATGTGATTATGTCATGGCGAGTCCCCCACACGCCCCGCTGCTGCCTCCCAGCCCGCTGCCGGCTGACAGCTCTGGGAAGCATCGTTACTGCTGAAATGGAGGCATAAATTTCTGCTGGCAAGGCTCCTGGCTGTAAAAACTTGTAAGCCGTAACAACCTCTCACTGCGACAAAGTTACTCCGACATTTCCCATGGTCCTGGTCCCATCCCTCCAAGCTGGGGGCAGGAAGAGGGGGAAAAGGTTTTAAAAACTTTTCATTTTCCTTATGTAGTTGAGCGTTACCGGGGGCGATATTTCTGCCTGTGCATGAATTCTTCCTGCTGAACTCATGGGGCATGACGCACCCACAGGAGGGGAGAGCATGCCCAAGACAAGAGCGGCTGAAGTACACTCCTGCTGAGCTACTCTTTCTGAGGATTTGTAGTTCTTTTTCCAGCCGAGGAGTTTTATTATAAGAGAAAGAACATGAGATTTTTATGAGTGATTTTACAAATTAGTTTCTCAAATTGTTTGCAGCAGCACAAGAAATGTTGCAGTCATTAAAGTTCATAGAAAGTATCAAATGCTCCATCACCGCAAAGCTCTTCCTTGTGCAACAGAAACAAAGCAAAGTCGCCCCTGGCATGTTTAGACCTCTGACTCAGAAATGCTGCTCATCACCTCTCCACCATAGTGTACAGCAACTCATCCTGCCCTTGTGCACATTGCTAGAATGAGCACAGAGCTGAACCAGCACAAACCCAGCTACAAACATGATTTTAAAAACAAACAACTAATTATTTCCATTCACCTCATTTAATTTGGGCTCATGCAGAAATGGTGTTCATCCAATAGTCCAAAATATGTCACGTATTAGGAGCTAAAGAGTCCAACCCAATGAATGAGTCATCACCCAGTGGATGAAATCCCATATCTTCATGGCTGCTCATAAATAAGACAAGCTCAACTTTATAGTAAATCATAAGTAAACAATGAACTATATGAAAATCAGACTCAGCTGTGTTATAACTGCATGGGCACAGTGCCCACACAGAAATGAAAAGCGAATGTGATACCATCATTGTTTGGCTTTGGAGACTGTATTTGGGACTGAGACTCTGAAGAGGGGTTTTGATGCGTGTAGCAGGGCAGTTGGACATCCAGGCCTTTGAGGCCACTGCAGATGCCTGTTTGCAATAAATAACACATTATCCTGGCATTAGCACTTCTGAACCTCAGATTCCAGTGGGCAGATTTTCTTAAGTTATTGTCTGGTATCTTCTCGCAACAGCCCAAAATCTCCGGGCAGCGCTCTCATGTTCTTGCAGCCTGCTCCTTCTTCAGTGCTCTCTCCTAGAGGGAAATGAAGAGCAGCAAAAAGCTGTTCCTTCACCCTGAGATGAGGATCGGTACGTCCTGTGCATCCCTCATAACCATATCCTGAGTGCAGGGCTGGATTCACAGAGCTGGCTGGAGTTTTTGATTTAATAACTATTTGAACCAGTGTTGTGAGAGAAGGCAGGAAACAGCAGAAAGTATTGATCAACCTCTATCTTGTTATAAAATTAAGAGCATATAAAAGACAGTATTGAAATAACTGGAAGCCTGACCACACTGCAGATAGCCCAGCAGAAGGGCCAGGCAAGAGGAGGTATGTTGACAGCATTGAGAAAGACTCTGGCACATGGTCATGAAGGGATCCTTCTGCAGCAGGAGCAGCTGAAGCCACCTCCAAGTCTGAGCTCCATTTTGACCCCAGGGCCCTGGCCACAAGCAGCTCGTGGGGCTGCAGCCAGTTTTGCAGGAGCATTTACTCAAATAAAAAATATCTTTCTGCTCCTGAGAAAGAGAAGTGTTTTGCTGTCTTGTCAAAGACTCTGGGAAATGTCTTATAATTTCCTATTTGTATTCAGGTTAATGGTGCCAGTGGGATACAAAGAAGATCACAGGAAGCAAATCCTTGAATTTCAGTGAAATTCATGATGTAATTGAATGAGCTAGAGGGTAGACAAGGTTGACAATCTCAAAGGATATTCTTTTTTCATTATACTGACACTGTGCAGGTAATCATTAATTGGCAGAGCTGCTATTGCCTGAAGAAAGTGCTCCAGGGATAGGTGCCTGACAGAGGAGCCAGCTTTGAAGTCTTCCAGGTTTGCATGGGCTTTCTGGTACACTCTGAAGTGGAGATGTCCTGCTGCTCCCTCACTGTAGCCTTCTCCTCTCAAACACAGTAGAGCAGCTCAGGCTGCCTTTCAGAGAGCAGCGAGGCCAAGACAGTAGCTGTCTGGCTATAGGAAGGGAAGAGACCAAAGCAGCTTTTCCATGAGAGAGCAAAGCTCCAGCCTCTGCCAAAGTACACAAGGACACAGACCGCCTTGTGGCTGTCCCTGCAGAACAGGGGCAGGGGCAGATGAGGATATCCGTTCTACAGTGATGTGTCCAGACATGGGGGAGGGCTTCGAGATGTGTCACAAGAATTAAAACCCAAAAGAGGCCCAAGCCTGGCCACAGGCACTTGGTCCATCCCAAGGGATGCAGGGTCTCATGCGGGGGAATGGAGCCTGGCTCCCTTCCTCCTTCCTGCCCCGACATGACTGCATTTCTCTAAAAGGCTGAGAACAGTTGTGCCCTCTCAAGATTCCATAGATGATTTACAAGTCCTCTCATGAGACCTGCAAAGAGCTCCTCTGGCTCCCTGCCTTCCTGATGGTCCTTGACCCAAGTGGCTCTGGCAGTCAGAGCAGGCTGGCCAGTACCACAGCCTCAGCTCAGGCTTTTCCCAAAAAGGATGCTCTGACTGGGGAACCTGTTTCATTTTCTCAACCCTTGGTACAGTTGTAACAGGCCAAAGCACGGATAATATCCAGCCAGAGATGTGACTGTACAAGCCCACATCACTACTTCCTGTTAAGCAGAGATTCTCTGTATATATTCTCTTTTTAACATTGGAAAATTATTGTACTTTAATAAAGTTCTGTAAATGGATGAATAATTTCCACAAGGAAAGAATGTTAAACTTGCATTGGCACAACGTTACTTCTAATCAAGTGATCTTCATAATTCTCCAGAACAAGCAAAACTTCATATTTTCCATACGTAACCATCTTTGTCACCCAAAGAACTTTGTATTCAATAAAAATACCAGCTTTCATTAAAGAAAAAAACCCTTTTGGTGTGCAGTTTTTCTGGCATTGCACATCTCTGGTTCACTCACTCAACATGTTTAGAATTAAATCACAAAACCTTAACTCACCCTCTAATGATCTGTTTGTTTCCAGATTCATATTCCCACAATATGTTTGCTGACAGCAGTTGGGCTCTTTGACAAAAGTCAAGAAATTTTTCCCAACAATGTATATTTGCTTGGTTCTGGTGAATTACAGGGGAAGGGTGCAGGCTGTACAAGCTGTCACCAGTAACGTGACTGTAAGACCAAGTGTAATTTATTTAGTACAAACTAAATGTTTATAGTAAGTATTCTTTGTTCCGAACATTATCACTTCAACATTGAGCTTTTTATGAAGAGAGTTGTGAGAAAGGTTGAGCCCTGTTTTGAAAGGATTTTTAAATTTAGCATCACTATGACTTGGAGCCAAAACCCTGATGCATACAGTTCTCAGGAGAATGATGGCAAAAATCTGCTTCCCTTGGTTTCAGGCGCTTCTAAACTGTTCTTTTTGACTTTGTAGTATGTGTTAGAACTGAATAAGAGCAAACCAATTCTTGAAAGGATATGTTGTTTCAAAATAAATCCAAAATCTTACACTCCAAATAATGTTCAATGTGGTACTTCGATATAATTGCTCCTTATCCCTTTCTCCCACCCTTAAAATAATCCCTTCAAATTCATATTGATTTCACAAAGCACTTTGACCTCAACAGAAACAAAACAGACTGGGATGAAATCTGGTCCTACCAGTATTCTTCAGCCTTTCTCCCTTGCCCACTGATGGATGGGGTCTGGAAGGTGTCCCCACCTTGGTGTCCACATACAGCTGCATTTCAAGCAACAGTGGCAAGCAGCCCTTTAATAAACCAGTGGCACCAGTTTATTAAACTGGTGATAAAGCTAAACTAAGTCTGTGATACCTGGAGAGCCCAGCATATTGTGTCTTTAAAAAGTCAAATGCAAGTTACTCTGTTAGAGCAGTATTGGACTTTGTCAGCAGCATGAATAATCTCACTCCATATAAACACATTTGAAAACTGCATCCAGTATGATATTTGCCATTCAGAAAAGACAAGAAGAAGAAGAAGAAGAAGAAGAGCAGCAAGGAGGATGATGTCTAAGGCACAGGAAACCCACCTTTTAATGAAGGGCTTCGGGATCCTGATCTGCTGCTGAGAAGGACAAAGCCAGATGTGGTTGTGAGCTGCAGCACCTGCATGGAGAGAAAAATGTCAGAGGCGAGGGATTTCCACTTCCCAGGGGAAAAGTGACTCATGGCAGAAAGCTACAGCTAAGCAGCCATACACTAGGGAAATATATGCTCAAACAGGAGTAATTTTACCTTGTGAACAGCTAACTGTACCCTTAATTATCTCTTACAGTAGATCGTCCACCTCTCATATGGAAGGAACAATCAATGTCAGATTTTTCTCTAAAACACATGTAATTTAAATAGGAACAGTTGAAGGCAGTTATCCCACCTCATATACTGTGTACTTCATCCTAGTCCCTGTTTTCTTGGGAGCAATTCATCCTATGAACAATGATGCCAAGCTTTACTCCTAGAAAGCATTAACATCTTATTATTACTTCCATTTTTACAGCAACTAGAATTATCCTTGTTTGCTCATTGAAAAACATTTTAGACACAACAAATACAATACTTCTGCGTTTATCTGAAGAAAGGAAATCCTTTCTGCAGACTCCCCTTTGGTCCCTGCTGAGCTGCCAACTCCAAAGCCTGCAGAATGCCCAGCAGCATGCAAGGGTGTTTCTGTGGGGTGTGAACTCTCCTACAGATAACAACTTTATGGCACAGGCATTGTTCTTTACCAGTGCCCTGTTTTCACAGGTATTTAATGAATAAGCTTTCAACTGCAAAAACACAGGCTGGGATCAAGAAGGCAAATGACCTTTGTGCTTGTGATTGTATGTTCAAGCAGTTACGCTTATTTTCCTCATTAACATATAGGAATTCCTTTTATGTTAACGCACTTTATTTAATTCTAACAGGCTTTTTGTTGTATTTAAAAAATCTAAAGGGAAACAGAAAAAAAGTCCCATTGTTCTCCCACATGTTTGTTTTCACTACAACTACTAAGAGGAAAAGCCCTTTACAAAAACAGGATACAGCAGACTTCTCTACGCTGTGCACCCCCCACCACACACTCAAACACTCTGGGCATGACTGCAGTGGTAATCGAGAGTGCACAGAAAGTCGTCAGTGATTGAAAAACATCAATGGGAGTTTTATTATCCACTTGAATGAGAGTAGTATCAAGTCGTTGCTGAATAAACCTCACCAGCCTGGGCAGGTTCTGCTCCCCTCAGAAAAATTACCACCTGTCTTAGGACATTTTTTCTGTGACATTAATTATAGATAGAGGGGCAGACTCCACCATTGTGGAAAGGCGTTAAGTCAATGACAAAAGCCATAGCATACAGCATCACTTCCCAGCAGTCCTAAGAGACAAATCACCAGGGAGCCATGTCACCTACATCAGGTACTGCCTGGCCCCAAGAGATGCTCCAGATCCCCCATGGATTTTACTGAGCAGCCACAGGCTGTCTCTGGGGTGCCCTCTGGAGTGGGGCTCCCCACTGCATTTCTACTAATGACTTTTTAGAGCTCCTTTCTTCATGTATCCCACGGCTTCCTTTCCCCTCTCTTCGATCATTGCTTCCCCTGATGAATTTTTGTCCAGTCAGCAGAGGGGTTCCTGGCTGTGCCAGCAGCCCTCAGGAAAGGCCAGAGCTGAGGCAGGGGAACTTGTAAGCTGCACTCACTGCAAAGCACATTCCTGTGGGTTGATGTTAAGAAGATAATAAAAATTGCTGTTTTCTTTCTCTCCACACGTTAGCATTTGGAAGAGTTCATGCTTCCAAAGAATAACACTGACTGGTTCTCTGTGATACAGAAGAATAAATCAAATGCAATTACCAGGAGACCTGCATTTCTGTAATCAAGAGCATCATCTCTGGCCAGAAGGTACCTTGGGGGAATCAAGTTCTAGCGACTGGGAGGCCAGTAAAGAGCAATGTGGGCTTTTCTGACTAAAATGTGGTGATTGCACTTCCATTCGCCTGGGCAGAAACTACCACTGAGCAGCCTGGCAACTTCCTTCAAACACCATCCCAAGAGCATTTCAGTTAAAAAAAAAAGTCTCAAATTTTAGGGAAATATGTCTTCTGATTTCTTTCTAAGGAAAAACATAAAATACCATAAGGGTTGAGGATATTCTTGCAGTGAAGAGAACAGAATACTGCTGTGGTTTTAGTTTTACAGGATTGTGGTTCTTCTTGTTTTTCTTTTAACTATGTTAAGTAAGCCTTGTTTCTTCACCAGAAACTATCATGACTTGGTTTAGCCATGCTTTCTGAACAAGATAATTCTGTCATGTAAAATTATTACATTACAATGTAAATTATATGAGAAATGTTTATGCAAATCCTTAGGTAAAACAATACCACTTTATTGCTGCAAAATAAACTTTCAGATTACTGACACTTTGTCTTTGAAGAGAGTCTGCCATGGCTCAATAAACTGAAGAGCCAGGGAGACAGCACAACAGGCTATGCCTGATACTGCTTAGAATCAGACCTTTCAGTAAAAGGGGGGAAAACCCCAATTTCCATTTATATAAAAATCTTTCATTGTTTAGAAATTGTAAACTGACTGGCTGCTTTTTGCATTTTTTGGTAAATCTCTGACCATCATCAGAGGACAGGATTAAATAATGCAGCTATCATTCCTTCCTCATCAGAGAGAAATAAACCCTCAGTGTCCTCCCTTGCTGCATGCAAGGAGTTCAACTACAAAACTCTGTTTTCCCAAGATCTCGGTATCTGCTGACTGGGTGTCCCAAAAGGCAAGAAATCACAATTCCGCAGGCAGCATCGGGACAAGCTCACTTTGAACAACTCTTTATCTGAAAGCAGAACAGGGACACCTATCCGTGCACTCCCTCCATCCCACGGACCTCCCTCCCTGCCATCGCCCTCCGGCCCCAGCCCCGGGTCCCGCCGGAGCCGGGGGCAGGTCCCGCACGGTGCTCGGGGGCAGATCCCGCACGGTGCCCGGGGCAGGTCCCGCACGGTGCCCGGCCACGCCGCCCCTCTCACCTACCGTCCGCTGCCGCCCGCCGTCCCACCGCGCCGATGGATGGATGGATGGAACTGCCGGGCTTGGCTGGGAGCTGCTGCTGTCCCAGCAGCGGGAGGTCACCAGGCTGCTAGTCTGATCTTCAGTTCGCTTTCCATCTGAAAAGTTTAACTCCTTCACGCCCTAAAAGGCACAATATCAGCAAATACTGCAGCGCTGTGCTCATCCCTTGCCAGGGACTCTGGGCACGCCCTTGTTTCAAGCTGCTGAAAACAAGGACATGCACCTGAGAAAAATCAGGATATGGGGGGTTGGCATGAGCAGTTTTGCCCTCAGACTTGGGATGAGTGTGATGCCAAGAAGTCCTCAAAGAGATATTTCTCACAACAACATATGCTCCTAAGCCCTGTACTGAAGTCTTGTGTATTCCCACACATTCCTGTGGCTGCCAAATCCCTTCCGGGGGGGGGGACCCCAGGGGCTTATACTTTGGAAGGGAAGGGGAAAACCTTTCACAGCACTTTTTTCCTTGTCTCACCAAACCCCTGGGAAATTGAAGGGGGTGGAAATTGCTTCTGGCAGAGGAGATACCCAGATCTGAAAGAGCACACTGAGAAGGGGCCCCAGAAAATCCCAGCCCCATTCCTGCTGCCAGGAAACCCCAGCCAGCCTTAGCCTGGCCATGCCCATGCCTGGGCACCCACATTCCTCCTTGCTTTGATCAGAGAGGGGTTCCTGGTGGTGGGGTTTTGTGGTCCAGCTCAAGATGCCTGTGCAAGAGCATGGGTAAGAAGTTGTCTCTGCTTTGCCCTTGGACTCCACTGAATTTGCAGCTCTCTGCACACCAGCCCTAGGCTCTGCATGTGGTACTACCAAAATGTATAGGACAGAGTAGTGGCAGCCATCAGGAATTCCAGCTGCTGCTTTTTCCAGCAAGATGTTTAGAATGGTTACATGATGATGTCAACCCTGACCTCCATGTTCCTCTTGCCCTCCTCTGCTGTGTGACTGTTGAGCAATGGAAAAATGGAAACACTTTCTGGGTTTAAAGGCACTGAGCCCCGTCCCCAGTTCCTGGCTGTGGGGTCACTCTCACGCTCAGCCACCACACTATTCCTATGCAGCCTGTTCAGGTCTGGCAGATGGGAAATTGTAGACTCCTGCCCCTCCAAGAAACGAAGCTAAATCTGGCCCCGTGCAAGGCTTCTTCAAGCACCACTTGCTAGGCATAAAATCATGGCTCAGTACAGTGTGCTGCTACACGCAGGCTGCCCTCTTGCCCAGCTGTGGTGGAAGGCACAAGAAAGGGACAGGTGTGAACCTACCATGCTTCTCCAAAGGAGGATGTGCCAGGGCAGGCTGCAGGATGTCACAGGGAAGGCCACACATGGCAGGGACAGGAGCATTTCATGGGGCCAGCAGGAAGGCAGCAGCTCCAAGCTGTGTTGGTGGTTTTATACCCAGGGTGTTGCAATGCCCTCTGGGCACAGTGCTCCCTGGCCCAGGTGCACTGGCACTCACTGTGCTGAGCCCAGCTGCTCCCCAAGCCTGCTCAGCCTCTGTGTCCTTTCTGGTGCACCAGCCCATGCATCCAGAGGAACCCATATGGGTTCTCTTTACTGGCGACAAAGTGCTCACAGCAAACAACCAACACACGGCTCCTGTAACCCGTGGCTCTGATGCCAGCATGTCCCACCTGGCACCCTGTGGCTGAGCTTCACTTGTCAGCTGCCCAGGCACAGGCTTTGCTGAGACCCTTAAGTCAATCCAATGCATTTTAGCCCAATATAAATAACATGATCCTCAGCCAGTCCCTCCAGAGGGGGTGCACCTGGCAGAATCTCTTCCTGTCCCAAAGGTGATTCCCAAAGGACTACCAGTGCATACTACAGCCAGACCCCTTCAGCTCCCAGGCACTGTGAGTTATGCAAAAGGTGACTTTTGTCCACAATAATAGGAGCCTGAGTGAGGGAGAGGTAGGGGAGAGGTGCCCTCTTGCCTTTTTTCTGCAGACCAGAAGGCTGTGACTGCAGTGACATGGGGAATCTCTGAGGCTGCACCACTGATGGGGCATGAGATGGCGGCTGACACATAATCTCCATGCAGACACCCTTATCAAGGGGCTGCAGCAGCTTTTCATTCAACCCTGAGATCAGCAAAAAACCAACATTCAAGATCATTTTCCAAACCTTTCTCTGGAGGGGGGACAGCTTTGGCGCTTTTGATTTCAGGTACGAAAAATGTAATTATGGATAATGATGCCTCTTGCTGTAACCCAGACAAAAAACCTTTCTGTATTTCATGGCTGGTCCCTGTGCCCTAAAGTAAAATAGGGTTTCTGCTTTCATTACAAAACATATTTGTATTTCAACCTGTAAGGCCTTTTCATCTGGGAGCTGTCTAGTGGCGAGCAGTCTCTCCTGCATCTGGTGTTACTTAGCCAGTAATTTTTCTTCTGTGTTGCCTGGGGGCCAAAAGTACTCCCCAAAAGGCAAAACATGGGTTAAAATTGTTTAGAGAACAAAATTCTGTTAGGACGTTTTATTGGAGTCCAGGGAAATTACTTCTAAAATACATACACATAATATTAGCAGCAATAATAGAGTTTTTAAAAGTTCACTGTAAAAGTAATGTTTCAGATAGGAGCCAGCATTTCAAACCCATCTGTATGGAGATGACATCAGACACACTGCTTATGTTTCCACTTTCGGTGGTGTGAAACAAAATATGTTGCTATATGTACTTACCTTTAGCGGGTGTTTGCTCAACTTGGACAGTTTGGTTGGGTAACTGCTTGAACTCAGAAAGCTTCACTTTCACAGAAAGCAAAAACTGGGCTTTTTTCTTTTACAGGCTTCTCAGCTTGTATCAAAACCACCCTCTTAATCCTCATTGGGTTCTGCCACTATGACACTTAAATCCACGATTCTATTTAAATTATGATAAGGTGACAAATTAATCTAGGACATGGTAAATGCAAGACCTGTCACAGCAGACATCTCACAGTTTTACACTGCAGATGTTTAGGCTCACCTGGTTGACATCAACCTTCCATCTTCCCTGACAGTTCAGTGAGGGGTGGCAGTGCCAGGGTGGGCACTGTGGAGCTGTGCTGGTGACCCTGCCCTGCCCCTGGGGCAAGGCAGCTTCAGCACTCCAGCCACAGCCTGGCTGAAAATAGAGAGGGTGGCTTATTCCACGTGCGTCCCTTGTGAGCAGGAGCCAGGTATCATTTCTCACTGATCAGGAGCCCAGTGTGCTGTGGGCACTTGTGGGGACAGCTCAAGGAGGTGCAGTCCCCGCTGCTTTGGATCCTGGGATGCACTGGGTCCCAGCACAATATGCGTTGCTTTGAATGAAGGATATTTGCCACTGATGGCATTTTCTGCTGGGAATGGGAACTTCTGAGCACTGTTCCCAGCTGCAGAAAGATGCCATCACCCACGGTGCAGAGACAGGCAGTGAGGAGGGGATCTGCTGGCATGCACACTCTAAAGCCAGTCTGAGATTTCCACATCATCTTAAAGCAAGGATAAAATATCTAAGTGATAAGAACAGAACAATGAAATCTGAATAAACAGCACTAATGGATGTTTCCTAATTCCTTAAGCTCCCTCCTATGTTTATAAATGAAAGAGAAACATCCAGACATTTCTAGTATGAGATCTCATTTCTTTTTTAATTAGAAATGCCCTTCTCACAGAAATGACCACCTAAAGCAGTCATCTTTTTATTAAAAATACATCTTTTGATTAAAAAAGTACACTGGGATTTCATTGTTATTCCAAGTCCATGCTTTTTTTTTTTTTTTTTTTTTTTTTTTGACATGGGTACAAGCATTTTTCTAAACTTAAAGAAACCCTTCTCAGAGGGGGGTGGAGCTATGAAATATTTTTAAGATGTAGTTTGCTTTGATTTCCAAAGAATTTTATTCCAGTGCTAGAAAGCTGCAGAAAATAATCCCAGGGAGAGGAATAACCAAGAGCCAGGTTATTCCTAAGGCTCCAAGACCCTTTCAAGTTGGTCTGAAAACCTCATTGTTAATCAAAATAATTGCATGAGAACCAATCAGGAAATCCTGAAACATTCAGAATGAAACCTTGTCATTACAAATTCACCATCATGGCTAAAAAACAGATTATCTCTGTCAAAAGCTGTGGGAAAGTTTGCTTTGTAGCAGTAGGGGCAGAAGTAAATATTTGCCCAATCTGTTTTGTTTATCCTAAAAACATATATACATGTACAGAGTTTCAATTAAACACTATTTTCTTTCTCCCCATGTGTACATCATTTGAACTGCCCATGTGAGGAGCTTTTCAAGCATCTCTCCCAGGAGTCAGGGAGATGGCTCCGTGCCAGCGCCTTACTCAGACCATTACGCCATGGCAGGGCAGGTCGGATTGCTTTGAATTTTAAGCCTCACTTCTTTGGTCTCACCTCTGAGTCCATTTAAACATAGCTGGCCCCTTGCTGTAATTTAAAGCAATCTAAAGCAGATGCACAAAGTGCCACTGAAAACACCCACAGACATGTTGGTTTTGCTGGTAAATGCCACAGCTTCCCAAGGCTGGTGATCGCGGGGAGCAGGTGCAGGAGGAGGGGTTCAGGTGTGAGCGGGGTCTGTTTCAGCAACATGCAGATTCCCCAAGTTACTGTATTTAAAACACTTAAGAAATCATATGTTTTCTTGAGGAAGAGTGGTGCTGGAGATGTCTGAGCTGGAAAAGCTTGAGGGGACACCGGGACAGACCAAGAGTTCAAAACAGCTGTTTTACTGCCCTGTGGGCGTCATGAGCCCCTCCTGTACTCACCCCAGAACCCTCCATGCTGACATCGCTTTTGCAGGGACACAGTCAGAGATACAGATGCAAAAGGTCTCCAGTCTGGGCTGTCCTTTGCAACAGCTGTTTGCAAAATTAGTTTCAAAACACTTTGGTTTTGAAAATGAGGTCCACACTTATAAACATGCCATTTAAAAATGCAGTCATAAAAAAAAAGGACAAAGAATTAAAGGAAAAAAATTACAGCCAGTGGTTGAACCCTCTGAATCCTTTTCCCTTTGGAAGAGTGTTCAAACAGGTGAAC